TTCAAAAACGATACTACGGTACAGGTGAACATTTTGTAAGAGGAGTCGTTCCATCGTCGGCAATAATCATCATAGCCGACGCCAATCCGCCAAAACACGTTTGATGGGACGAGATAACACCTGAACTGGATTAGACCAGATAACAATCGGTGTGTTAACGTTCATATTTTCCACGCCCGAATTGATTGACCTTGAACTCTCCTTGAATTACGCGCGGAACTGCGTGCAAGCGTCGGCCATGATGAATATCGCCGACGATGGAGCGACTCCTCTAACAAAATGTTCACCTATGCCGTAGTATCGTTTTTGAAGCGGGAAGCTTAAAAAAACGCAAATTTCTTACGCAGATTGTGAAGTTATTGGTGCATTTCAGACTTTGCCAATGCGCTCATCGTGATTTTTGAGGCATTATCTATAAGAAACAACTCTTATTTTTGCTCTAGCAAAAGTTTGCAACAGGCCCATTATGTAGTCTGGAAGTAACGAGAGGGTATGTATTCGATCGATATGAACCAAACGAAAAATAAAAACGTGAACTGATCAACACCGATTCAATGGACAAATAAATGAAAAGCGTATCAAAATCAGTGGAAAACTTGTATTTAATATGGAAATTTTAAAATGCGATACCTCGAAAATGGGATCAGCCAAGATTTTGATTTTTCACGATTGTAAGTCCACACTTACCATATACTCAGACACGCCACAAGGGAGGGGGGGGGGTGTTGGGTCCCTGGTGCCGGGGGCCGTGCCGCCCGTGACACACATTTTCGAATTCACATGTAACCCTTGTCGGGGCCCGGACTTTAAAACTAGTACCAGGGCCCGAGATGGGATGTGCAGGGTTACCACAGAATTTAGAAAATGAAATTCCCGGATAGTTCCCTGATTTCCCTGACACATTTTGGTGAAATTCCCTGACAATTGAAGATGTGACGGATGGTTAAGAAGACATAATTAAAAATAGTTTTCAGGTAAAATTTGTTATTCGGAACCTCAAACCCATTCTAAAAAGCAAATGAAGGTGATTTAACACATTTTCCCTCACACTTTCGTCATTTTGCTCTGACATTTCCCGGTTCCCCTGACAGTGGCAACCCTGCATATACTCACTTCCTGCAAACCGTTTTTGGGTATATCTTGGTCGCATTTTTTTTTTTTTTTTTAAATTAATTTATTTATTTGCTTGAAGACCACTGTGGAGAGACATCGCTGGCGCTGGTAGAGAGGCAAAGATGTTGAAGTAGATCTGCTCAAGGTAGAAGTTGTACAATCTAAGCAATGTAACAACGTGGTCGATTTCTTTCTGCTGAGCTTGGCCTAGTCTAATTAGGAGAGATTTCCGCGTATCGAGACAAATTTATTGACTTTGCTTGAGACTTAGCCCGAGAAAATTTTATTGCTTCATAAATACCACGTGGAGCTGACGATATTTTTTGCACCGTTTCTCCTCCATAGAGGGTGTTCCTAGCTTATCATGAAACATGAAACAATATAGAGACTTATTTTTCAGCTACGGCAAGAAGAAAACAGTTCGTTCTTTTTAAAATTTGTTGTTTTTTTTTTTTTTTTTAGTTCGTTCTTGATAAACTCGTGCTCAAGATAGAGAGGGGAAAAAAATTATAAATATATCCTTCCCTTCAAACGAGTTTTCGAAGAAGGAGACTTTAATGCATCGTATTTCCCGAGATTTTAAAATAAAACTTTACGAAAAATCTGTATGGAGTTTCATGAGGACATAATTCTTAGGATTCTAAGTATATTCCGAAAAACGCCCTCTCTCTCCGCTTCCAAAGTTTGGTAAAAAAAAAGAAGAAACAGGGGAAAAAACTTTGAAGCGTTTTAACTCCCTTAATATTCAGACGAGAGTAATTAGTATTTGAAGGCAGAGTCTACACAGGCTATTTTTTTATTATTAATGCTAAAATCGCCCCTAAGGCAAGAGGAGGGCGTATATGAGTGCTTCCTGACTGAAAGAAAGGAAGCATACTTTTCACAGAAGGAGAATGGAGGTTACACACGTCATTGTTTCGCCTTCAATTTTCGACGTACGCCATCATCCATACAGTAGTACGCTTTTTAGGGCCCGCTTTGTGGGCCTCTCGTGGGTCAATTGACTAAAGCGGGCTCATCCAGGGACTACATACTATCCCTAGTTGCAAAAATTCATAGAATTTAACCTGATTTCTTTCCGGATTTGACCAGTTATCTCTGATATTTTGAGTTTTCCCGATTCTTTGATTTTCCCTAATCTCCTGAATACTCGTAAATTCGGCAACAGGTAGGTAAAATAGTTCAAATTAATTTGATATTAAATCATACTTATTTTTCCAATTTTTTTATGTATATAATCTTGATATTTGAAGCGGATTTTCCTTTAAATTTAAGGTTTTTTCCTCTTATTCGTTTTAATCATTCTATCGGTAAAATAGATACCTATTATTTCAGCTTTTGCACCTCAAAAATATACCGTCACCTTCCAGCCAAAGTATCACAAGCGCCATGCGACGCGACGTTTAAAAATTTCCGCCGCCATTTTATTTTTTACAGAGAAATTGTTCACCGGAGCTGTCCGAAAATTTCACTGAGTTTTCTCTGTGCTGCCGATAACATTCAGTGAAATTTTCAAACAGATTCAACCAAGATTTTTCTGTAAAAAAGTAAAATGGCGGCGAACATTTTTCAACGTCGCATGCGCTTGTGATACTTTGGCCGAAAGGTAACAATATATTGCAGGGAAATAGAAAACTTGGGCATTTTGTCAAACATTTTTACTTGGACTAGGATTTTGATTATTTTCTTAATTTTAAACAGGGTATAGCTTCATTGCTCGTGTAAAGAAGATTTCTCTGTAAAAGTGTGCATCATATAGGTAATAGCACTTTAAAGGATTCTTAGCTCTTGAACGAACATCTATTGAGACGTTTTTAGCATATCTTAAACACATAATTTTTAAATTTTAACATTAAAATATATGGGAAGCATTTGAAAAGGAAGGAAAAAGGAGAGTTCGTAGACTTGATGAGTTATTTTTCCCAAAATATTGAAAAATTATTATTATTAATAATTATTATTTTTTATTTTTTTTTAAAAAAATGTCTGCTTTGATTTATCACCTGTGACAAATACACCTGACTTGTTCTCTACAACGTTGAACACTCTGTAGAGTGTCTGAGAGAAAGAGATGCTACAAAATATGCTGCGTGACGCCTTACATTATTACTTCTCAGTCATACCCGCGTATTTCAGCAGATTTGACCGCTCCGTCGAGATTGCAGACCAATTTTTGATTGATTTCCCAAATCGATTTTTAATCTTGAAGACATCGAGGGACCGTACGTTCTCGAACTCAACTCGTCGGGCAGTTTCGTTTTGTGCGAAAATTCATCAGCAATCAGTGTCACAGCGCCAAGATCCATCTGCGCATTTTGGAGAGTGTATATAAAAAGTGTTCCCACAGGGGATAACATCAGTCCTGTTTGTTGCAGATTTTAATTTATCTCATTCTGTATTTTACTCATACGCAGGCTATGTTTATATTTTTGTTAACGTCTGTTGCGTTATTCTCGACAGCGCTTGTTGCGTATTGGGCCCTTATTCTGTACGGTTTGCCTCTGTGGCTGGTGTAAAAGTCATGTCAACGTGATTGACTCGACATAAAACAAATGTGTTGCACTTCATTGGATTTTCATTTCTTCCTAGTTTCATTAAATTTAAATGATTGTTGCTTTGCAAGTAAGAGTGAGGCAACTTAACATTTTACTACATTTTGCAAAGAGAAAGCTACCGTTTCTGGCTCATTTCAGTAACAACATAAGTGCCATCGGTTTCCCAATACGGATGGATGCTTTTTCATACGAGCCGAAACGGTGGTTAATTGTTGCAAAATGAAGTCCAGATTTGTGAAATACTTGTTCTCAGCAGCAGTACATCGATTTGACCACATTTTTTGCGATGAAAAAATATTCTTTCTGACTCATCCATAAAATCGGTTATCAGTGTCGAAAATCTGAAAACACATAGCTATTGTTGTTTCTATAAAATGAGCTGAGAATAGTGCCTATTCCCTCGCTGCAAAGAGTTGACCAATTTGTTGCTGATGAAGAAAAGGTATCTGCTTAAAATTTTGAAGCCTCTCAGACAGAACTAGAAAAACATATCGACGGTGTAAGTCCCCAATCACATAACTCGTTTGCGGTGTCTGAAAATCTCCGCCTCTATGTTATTTTTTTTTAAAGGAAAACAAATTGGCATAACTCCTCGAAGTTTTTACAGCATTTTCTTCGCACAGAGAAGGAAAATCACGGCAGTTTCAAAGAATTGCCGTCGAGTAGTTTTCCGTTTAAAAAATAAAGTATGACAGGAAGTCTGCGACGTCGCAAATCGAGTTATGTGATTGCCGACTTACACCGTCGATATGCTCGACCCCAAAAAATTAAGGTGAATTTATCGTGTTTGAGAGGTCAAATTGGATAGTTTCCGTAGAGTAGCCCACAAACACATCAATTTTTCAGAACTTCTCTCATCAGAGTTGTCACAGAATTTCGCAAATTAACTTCCCTGACATTTCCCTGATTTCCTTAGCACATTTTGGCGAAATTCCCTGACACTTGAAAAAAACCATTTTGTTAAAAAGACATAGTTAGAAATAGTTTGCTGTTCGAAATGTCTGACCCACTCCAAAAAGCAAATAAAAGTGACCTGCCTTCCTTGACATTTTTCTCATTATTCCTGACAGTTCCAGGTTTTCCCCGACTTTTTAAAATTCCCTGAAATCCCCAGTTTTCCCGGTATACCCTGAAAGTGGGAACCCTGTCTCATACAGAAAAAAAATAAAGGCAAAGATTCATACGTCACAAAGCTAGGGGAGGAAGATAATAAGCATGCAAAGTGGACCCAAATTACTGATCTATTAAACGACAAAAATAGGATGAAAGGAAAAGAGAAAAACAGAAGGAAAATGCGACGAGCATCCAAATTTGTTAGAGGTGACGTCATACCTGTGGTGAGGGAGGAGCGGGTGGGGCTTCAACGTATCCTGGCTGTGGCAAGAAAACAATTCTACAAGGTATAGTGCTCACAGGGAGGAGTATTACGAGAGGCTAGCAATTACACTAAAAGAAAAACATTGGCTCAATGCAGCATGGAGCACACGAAATGATGTGTTGAGAATATGCTCATCTGGAGGCCGTTTTCCATTCGTTTGAAATCAAGAGTGAGAGCTCACACACTAGGGGCCGTTTTTAAATTCGAAATGTGGGCATAATTCGCCGCCCGACTCACAAAAGGGCGTAAGTACACATTGAGATGAGCCTGGAAAAGCATTGAATTCTATGGGATGACAGGGCTCATTGCACATTGTATAGTTACGTTCTTATGTCAGAAAGGCATATACGTGAATCCATACGTGATCGTCCACAGGAAAAGTGCTTTTGTGCCGAAAAAAACTCAAGCTTCGGATACCGGTATGTCACTGCATGGAGGAGTGCTTAATGAACATTTCAGCACGATAAAAAAAAATTACACCCAAAAACGTCAAATTAAAGTGGGAGCGTACTGCCGCGTGCTAGGAAAAGAAACGCAGTAAGAGCATCCGGCCATTGCCAAATTTCGTTCCATAAATTACGTATTTTCTAGAAGGCTTATACAGATTTGTCTCCGTGTTTTTCCGGAGAATTTCAAGCGCAATTTTATGGTGAAGTATCTAAGATTTTTAGAAAAAAACTTCATGCTACGCCTCACAAATGAGCATTTTATAGTGGAAAACTTAGCAACATTCAAACATTCATGAGGCGGTTTGCTTTGGAATGGCAGTATGAAGGGTTGAAATTTTCTGATAGAAACTTTTGCAGGGGACAGCCACAAGACAATATTGTAAAAAAGAGGTAAAATTTCGCGTACTTGATTGCGCTGTTTAACAATTTTATGGGACGCGTTTCGGGGTTAAGATGGCTCTTTCATCAGCCGGCAGCGAAGTGGCTTCTGGCTGATGAGGGGGCCATCTCGACCTCGAAACGCGTCCCATAAAATTGTTATACAGCGCAATTAAGTGCGCGAAATTGTACCTCTTTTTCTTAAAATTTTCAGCACAATGATTAATAAGCGGTTTCACGAGAGAGAGCCTGATTTAAGTTGCCATAGTCGCGATTTAATTTGCGGATTATTGCTATTTTGACGTGGAAAATTTCTTTGTAACACTGTCTCAGTCAAATATACCGATGTGCCACAATTCATTTCGATAAAATTAATATAAAATCGCCGCCTTATCGATGCCAATTTCGGAATTGCTAACGACGGAAAACTCGTGAGTGATTGCGATGATATTGGGGAAGTAGCTCAAGTGTTTAAGAGTCCAACGACTTTACCGCAATAAAACGCCGATGAAAAGGCAACTTTTCCGTTGATAAATGGCAACTTTCGAGACTAAATTTGACTTAATTAATGGAACTCAAAGTCGTACGACTAAATCGCGTCTTGACGCTCTGTATTGGGCACAAAATTGCATTTGACAGCTCGAAACCTACTTTACACGGTAAATTTGAGTATAATTCTTGACCACGACTCAAAGTCGAATCTTTCGACCCACTTGGACAAAAGTCGCTCTCCTGAAAAAGTTCCACCGTATTTTAGGATTCCTTCCCCCATGGTAAGTCACAATATTAATATTTTTCTTATCGCGGATGAAAAAAAGGGTAATGAGTCACCGAGTCGCCTATGAGTCTGTGATGCAATTATTCGTGCTTCAAAGATGTCCATGTGGCATACCTTATCAATTGAAGGCGCTTCGAATTTCCCCGGATCGTTTCCCACATTTTGACGATAAAACTAAAGTCCTTGACCCCTTTTCCCGTGAACGATCATATGAAGTGAGTGTCTGCGCTAAGTAGGCACTGAATGCGCAGCATTTCGTGAGAGAGAATCAATTTTCTTCGGCAAAAAGATGTCCGGTCTGCTCGTTGAAAAAGAGTCAGCAAATTTCTACATCCATTCTCGTGAGGAAAAATTTAATATCATTGACAGTATCTTACTGAGAATGGTTCAGAGCAATTCGTTATTGTGATTAGCGGCAGAAAAACTTAACTTACTAAAGAAAATTATTGTTCCAGGATTCAGCATAATATTTTTAAAATTTCAAATTCTATGTTCTGCCTGAATTTTCCAGTCTAAGCACGAGTGGAGACAAGTCAGAGTCTAGCATTCAAATCAAACAGCCAACAAATTTTCGACTGTCTTTAGTGTAAAGAGCCAAAATTCTTCATGTATTTGTTTTTTTTTTAATTACTTGTGTTTTTCATGGTTTTCTCCTCTAAATGAAACTTTATTCGTCGCTGCGATTTTCCAGTTGCTCGACTCTCAACGTAAGTTTCAGTTTAAAGCGGTTGCTTTTTTTGTTCCTTGAGGTAAAAGATAAATGATTATATCATTCAAGCAAGCTGAGATCAGCTGGTTCATTTGTGATCACTTCAGTGGGCATGTACATGAGTATGAGTCAATGGAGATTTATTCAAGTACTTGGTCTCTCACGAACAAATCTCTCAGCTAACAAACGAGCAGATCCCTTGTTACCTAAGACACTTGATTCCTTCTCGCAAAAGTCTGCCCTCATATCTCGTACTGATGGCCTCTCTTGGGTTAAAAATGGCTTTTGGGTTTCAGTATATCGTACTGACGGGTATATTTCAAATACCAATTGCGGAGGACAGAATTATTGACTTTGATGACATACCGCTCAAAAAGCTCAAAAGCGCAAAGGCAAAGTCTAAAATTCATTTCTGATCGTACAAACTTTGAAATAGTGCTTTTCAAAAAACCGAATACTTTTCAAGAGCCATGCAGCAACGTGGTAAAAAAAGGAGAGAAAAGTCAAACAGAGTTGTGGAGCATGGCTCTCAAGGGGACTTGATTCGGCCAAGACCGGAAGAATTGATGTAGGGGATTATTTAAAGGCGAGCCTCTCCAGAAAGATGTTAATAATCAAGTGTATTGAATTTCAAGCAATTAGAAGGGGGCTCTCACACATTTTATGCAGTTGAAGAGGGAATCAAAGTTCTTCCTTCAGTGTTACAATCTACAAGGTAAGACAGAGAAAAAGTGCAAAGAAGTAAATGCCTCTGAGGACAGGCGTCTTCAAAGATCGGTGCTAGGTAAGTTGTGTGCATAAGACAACTAAGATGGTACTTGGATTCATACCTACTTCTGGAAATAATGCCTGGTGCAAAGTGGGAGTCAGGGGAATATGCATAAAATACGGAGCCGATGCTAAGATTAATGCCAGACGATTGAGACGTCAAAACGATTGAGAAATCAAAAATCATGTTAAAAAATAAGAAAGTAATAATTCCATGGCTAAAGTGCAATACCACGTATCTCCGTTAGCGACGATGCAGACTTCCTGGCATTCTTGATTTTTTCCTTGGAAAACTTAATAGTATGTATATCTTCTTGAAAACTATTTGTATCATGATTTTTCCTCTCTGTTGAGAGAATATTCTCTTTAAATTTGAGGTCACAAAATTTCCTTGTTTTTCTTCCAAAAAATAAAATAATAGCGGAAATTTTGAAACACCGCAATGGAGATCCGTGGTTTCGCACTTTGGCCATCGAATTATATAATTTTTGATGACACTCATTGGCGGTTCCAAGAGAGCGCCAAGAAAAGGTAGAATAGGCAAAACGTTTGCTGATATTTTAGAACAAGGCAGGAAATGAGATAACAAATGGAGCTGAAAAGAAATGAGTCTGGTGAATGAAGAATGAAAAAAAGAGGAGAGTCTCACAAGTTGGCAACACTAGATTCCACCATACATGTAAAAAAATCCACATTCTATATTCATCATATACTCATTCTATATGAGGCAGGCTATCTCATATAGAATTGATTTTTAAAAAGAATTTAGAGTAGGGGAAAACAATGGTGACAACTTACGAGGGTTTTACCTCTGATTTAAGAATAACCGGAGTAAAATTTTGGTCTCTTACCTTCTTGATTGTGACAATTTTGAGTCCTTTAAAGTGTGCGAACTTTTCCTCCGGCGTCTAAAAAAAGAGAGAAAGAAAGAAAACAAATTTTAAGTATCATTTCAATGAAACATAAGTCTACGTGAAAGAATTTAAATACAAGCGACTTTAAAATGACACATTTCATTTTTGGTAAGGACACCTTGATTTTATAACATCGACATGGAACATATCTCATCGCGGGGGGTCGTTGTCTATTGATGTGTGCGATTGCGTTAGATTTTACAGTTTCATTACAATTGCGACCCAATTTTAAATATTTTATAACCGATATTATTAACACCACACTGGAAAAAAACCACATTGGATCTAGAGTCCAGACTCTTGAAAACATTGACAAGGAAAAATACTCTTGATTCAATCGAATTTTTGCTTGAATCAAAACGAAATCCGCTTAAATTGAGAGGCTTGGTTCTTGATTTAAGCTAGATTCTGATCAAATCACGAGTACTTTTTCTTGTCGATGTTTTTAAGAGTCTGGACTCTAGACCCAATGTGTTTTTTTCCAGTGCAAAAAAAGAGGTTGTTGTATGATACGAACATTTCTACTTGCTTGTGGTAATACTCCAATAAATTAGGTTACACTTACCAAAATTTTACAGTACTAGCCCTAACTTGGGTTGGAGTACTACCACAATTGATTGGAAATGCCCGCCATATCATCCAACGAATTGGGGCAGTACCAAAATTTTAGGGGATAACCCCTGACACTTTTTCCGCGAATTATGTTGGAATTGATATAAATTACGAATTAATTCACGCGGACAAGAATAAATTCCGGCTAGAATATTTTTTCTTCCCTGATTGGTAAGGACATCGAACGGTTGGTTGAGACATTCATGATCTCTTGTTTCTATCGAAAAATGGTGACTGATTTGAAATTAAAATGTCCAATACGAGAAGTTGATGGGGAGTACATTTTTATAGGTGATAATTGTGAATGTTGGCAAAATTCTGAATAAAACATACCTCATCGTCGAGCGAGACGGGGAATTGTGTGATAGGTTTGACAGCTAATTCTTCTAACGCATCAGACCGCCTTAAAAAAGAATAAGAAGAAGAAACAAGTTAAGCACTCCGTTTAAAATTTGTATCACCACACAGAATAAGGACCCTGATTCCAGTGGCGAGGCTTGAATGATCGATTATCGACATTTCCCCATTTGAAGCTATGGTAGAGACTCGTTTATGGACCACTAGGCAAGGTACGAATTTAAGCATTCTGATACATGTTTCTTAACCAAAATTTCACGCAAAACACGATTCGCGCAACTAAAATGACTGAAACCAACTCCTAACAAAGATATCAACGTTTTTATTTCACATTGGTCACGAGGAATTTGAGCTGCCCGCTGACGAGAAACTCAAAGGTCTACGTAAGTCAAATCGCGCACTACAACGGTTTCAACAAACTCCTCAATCGAGTAATGTTCATTTCCCACCATGTGTTGTTCAAACTGTAAGCAATTTGCTACAGCTGAGCCAAAGTGTCAAGATTGAGGTTGCCAGATTTGTATATCGTAAAGACTGTCATGATAACGTTTAGCGCGCGATGTGAATCACGTAGAGCATTGAGTTTTCATGAGCGAGTGGTTTGAATTCACGCATCAAGAATCATTAAAATCTTCGTAAGGAGTTCATTTCGGTAAATTTCGTTGCGTGCATCGTGTTTTACGTGAAATTTTGGTTAAGAAACATGTATCAGAATGCTGAAATTCGTACCTTGTCTAGTGGTCCATTTTCCGTAGGTTTAAATGGCATATCAATCGATACATCGCCAAGCACGCCACTGCCACTCGCCACTGCCTGGTTCATACGGGCACGGGCACATATTTTAGAGATTTCACTCTCGTCAAGTTGGTTGAAAGAATCACAAGTCAAGTTTCCGACAGAAACCACTCTTTAAGATTGAATTGCAAACAGTTGAATTGATTGGATCACTGAACATGGAGTTCATTCCGAACGAAAAAAGAGGGAAAAGTTTTATTGATTAACATCCTGGATATTGGAAACATTTACAGCAACTTTCGAGTTCTCTGCATTAATCTTCGCAGCACTCAATTTTAATCCTGAGATGCTGAGGTACCTCATGCGGAGGTTAATCAGCAACAAAAGAGTTGCTGCCCTTATTCAGGAATTTCAATCATAACAAAATATTTCTTTCTGCGTGTACAAGATAAATGAGACTCTAAAGGCACAACTGTATAAAAAATAATTAACAAAATAGACTTCTGTCTATCCTGGAGAAAGACGGATAAGCAAATAAAACAAGATGAAATAAGGAGATTTAGGTTCAAATTTCCTGATAAAAAAATAACCTGGCTAAATTATGACAGATTTCGCCCGACTTGAGTTAAACGTTCTTGACAAGCTGACATTTTTGCTCCCCTGAATTTTCACCCTTCCCCTCTGAACCCTTGCAAAAATAAAGGATAGATTACCATCGAGTTGAATTAGAAATAAAAAAGCCTCACCTAAGGAGGATAATTTTGTACGTAGGACCTGCTAAACCTTTGATGATGGCCGATGCGTTCAGGTGACATCTGCCTCTCAGCACAACACCGTTGACCTGGAACAGAAACACGGGAATTCAATTAGAAATGTTGGGTTGGTGAAGGCTGTTTTGAATTTTCCTTTTAACATTAAAAAAATGAATTGGTCACAGGAAGTCAGGAATCTCCAGTAAACGAGCATGCGCGTTGACGCATCGAATTGTAATAATTCGCATCCATTTAATAAAGGTTCCATTGACCAATAGCTTCAAAAGCAGGACCATGGCTTGGAGCCCCTTCAAATCCGGCTGATACTCTCCGCTTTGCCAGGCAGTTAGTTAAGTTGCTTACTCGAACCTAACCCATTTAAGTGCACCGTGACGAATGAAATTGTCTTATTTTGAAAGTTCAGTTAACAAGATGTTGGATGAGAAAAGTATAGAGCAATTTTGTCCACTTCAAATGGCCTATTATTCACATTTTGAATGAATATTCCACATACAAATTGTTCATTGTGAATTAATGCTCTTAGTAGCTCAAGAGGCGTTCTTCCCGTGAATATTAAAGAGCTACGATGGAGGGGCTTGGAGGACAAGGCGCTTAAGTGCTGTTTTTGCAATTTCGAGAAATCCGTGTTTCAAGTTTCGAAATTACACGGATTGTAGGACGAAAATAAATTTCAAACCGACTTTTTGATGCTTATAAATTGGAATTTGGGAGCGAATTTTTTCAGTAAGACTAGTTTCACTTAAAGTCATTGTCAATCGTCCATTTTTTCAAAAACGGCACTTATGCGCCTTGTCTTCCACGCCCCTCAGTATTCATTTCACCTGAATATCAGCGCGCATTCCTTTGCTGCATAGTTTTGTCCTATCACTGGTTTTTGAATATTCTTTCACCGAAGTTTCCATAATTTCTTCATTCTCAAATCTCCTAACTTTTCCCTGACTCCGAGATTTTTATTCCGGACTATCTTTAACCTTCAAACAAAACTTCCGCTTGAACCTACTTTTTTCTTTAAATGCGCTGACTTAATCTTTAAGGAATTGATTTAATTAACTGAACTTTGACGAAATTCGCTCTTCTAAAGATTCAAACTATGGAACAAAGCACTCGAGAGATTATTCGCGCTCTGTCGAATGGCACCGGCTGAAGTTGCCAAGTCGATAAGCCAATCGCTAAATTCTCTTACCGACGAATTCTGCCATTTCCCACAAATTTTCATACTTTGTCAGGGTGCGCTAATACCTTAACTTTCCTGGATACCGGTTTAACTTACAGAATGCCACACAATGGATCGAATTAATGAGGGAGGTCGGACAAAATTTGGAGACTTTAAAAGCTCATGCCTCCGTTCATAAAAAGTTGGCGCCCGGACTAATCTAAGCTATACGGCTTGGGCACCGGAACTTCCAGCCTCTGAGCCCGGAACGGATGGTATGTCTATACAGCCAGATTTTTTTTTTTTCTTCTGTGTATCGGAACCGAATTTCGGACCAGCCCACGATGGATCGAGTCCATGGAAGTGATCAAACAAAATGGAAACTTTAAAAACTTATAACTCCGTTTATATAAACTTTGAGGTTTCAAAATTGGTTCCATTGGTTTTCTCGTGAAAATTTCTTCTCGAGGCCCTACTCTAGATGTAAAATATGACAAATTAAACATCAAAACTTAGAGTTTTAGTTAAAAATGTCGTGTCTGATCTCTGTGATTGACTCAATCCGCGCCGGAGACCCTTCATACTCAATCCTGCTCAAGGAATTCTTCAATTTCTCCAAATTCAGCCGTATCACATCCTTTAGACCAGCGAAATACAAATATCGACGGCGTGAAGATTTTACGGATTTGCTTCGCACAGAGGTAAATCACGGATGTTTTTAAGAATTGACGTCGAGTGCTATTGAGCTATTCCGTTTCAAAAAAAGAAATACGACGGGAAATCTGCGATGTCGCAAAACCGAGATGCGTGATTTGAGAGTTTCACCGTCAGTATGTCCTTTGGTTCTATCGCGATGTGTCGATCGATCCGGCATTTAAGCATATGGAAAATCATCGATAAACAGGATGTTCGCAACGAACACCTCATAATCGATTATTTGCCATAGATTCGAATGGGGAAATATTGATAATCGATCATTCACGCCTTGCCACTGTTTGGAAGTTCTTCCTCAGGGTGGCATGAAACGCCATAAAGAAATGAAACATTAGAAATTTCATGAGGCTATGAAATATTTCATAATATTTACGAGGCGGTGAAATATTTCATATTTTTCACGGGCTACGGGATACGACCCGCACTCAAACGCACAAAACTGGAGGAAAGTCACAATTTTTACATTTTGCGAAACATGGAAAGAGACCGGGATTTTTCAATATATTTCATACATTTCTGAAATTTCATGAATTATTTTACGCGAAATTTCAAGTTCAAGATTTCATTTTTATGAAATTTTGCCGCCCTGTCCTCCCTTGCAATGGCATCTTTTGGACATAAAGAAAATTACGAGACGTGCATATTGAGGCGGTTATAGATTGTGACGGACATTTCTGTCCATGGACAATTTAAAATAGGGCATTCCCACTGGAAACCACGACTATAGCCTCCGAGGCGACGATATCAATTTCAATTTTCCGGTAATAAATGGGGCCGACTCTCGGGGAGTTATTTCTTTCGGATCTTTCGGGCGGAAATCTATTGCTTCATAATGTGATGCCAGCTCATTATTCATACTCCGTCATGGCGGAGGGGGAGGGGGAGGGGAAGGGGACCAGGGTGGGGGAGGGTACCCCCTCGATGATTCATGGCTTATGTGAGCTTTAAAAGTTTTATTAGATTGGCTCATTTTCCCGCGACACGCGGGAGTCACCGCGCGCAGCTTTTCTATGCGTTTACGTTGTGTTTCCGTGTCCCACGACGCGGCGTTGTCGAATTTCCGCGCTTTCCCCCGCACACTGCGCTGTTTGGCCGTGGAACCTGGGAAAAGGCTCCATTCAGGGTTGCCACAGAATTCGGGAAATCAAATTTAAACCCCGACACATGTCGGTGAACTTCCCTGACAAATGAAAAATGCCAGATTTTTAAAAAGACATAGTTAGAAATAGGTTTCAGGCAAAATTTGTCGTTCGAAACGTCATCCCCACTCGAAAAAGAAATTGGAGGTGATTTGACGATTTTTTCCTGACAATTTGGTCATTTTCCCAGACATTTCCCGGTATTCCCCGACTATGACAACCCTGCCGAATAGTAGGCCCTTGCAGGACAAGGCGCATGAGTTCAGTTTTTGCTATTTCAAGAATTACAGGTTTTAAGTTTCAAAATCACGCATAGATTCTTATAGCGGAAAACATTTTAAACTAACTGTTCGATGCTTTAACACTCAATATTTCCCTTCACCCCAGTTCTCCTGGACGTTTTATCATGAAAATGAAATTCTCCAAATTATAGACGGCTGCGAATTTTCCATTAGAGAATTATAAAATTATAAATATTATCATAAGAACCTACTTTGCTCTTAGGTTAGGAGGCAAAGATGCGAATGGTAGCACCCCCGGCCCTTCGTTTATGTATTCAGTGAGTGCACTAAAAAAAAATCATAAAAAATATATTTTTTTGGAGTTGGGAGTTTGGGGCAGGTGTGAAATAGAAGAGTGCGCCACACAGTGGATCGAGTCGATAGTTTCAGACTCAAAACAAAATTTGGTCGGACAAAATTTGAAAACTTTAAACGCTTATAACTCCGTTGATGAAAGTCAGTTCTAGAAGAGGCTCCATTGGATTTCTCGTGAAAATGTAGGTGCTGATATGCGTTTCACACCAACTGACAGATTAAACTACGTTTGGCGCAATGCGAGAAGTATTCATGCAGTCTTGCAGGCGCTAATATAAAGCCGGCCGTACCGTGTTGGGCGCGATTATTCGAACTCGCGCTAGAATAATCGCGGAGTACTAGCAGTCTTTGTTATTGAAAATACGACGAAATAAACATCAACATTTGTAGTTGTGCTCAAAGGTTCCATGTCCAACTTCTCAAATGGGTCACTAAACCTTGTTTATTTTATTGACTATTCTGCAAGTTCTATGGGAGTAGATAACGTGGTGATTTTTCCGCATTTTTACGGACCCGAAATAGCGGAGAAAACCGCTTTTGACAAATCTAAAAACTGCAAGACATTTCAAACGCACCCGAATGGCGGGAAACTGACGCGGTTGATGTACTGCGGTAGTCATATCGCAGTCTCCTCTCATTTTCCTCTGATGTTTGTTAAATTGAAACGTAATTCAATGTGGAATTGTTGCTTGTTTATTACAGGTAACATATGAATGAGATTCGAGTTTTGAATTCAAAATATATAATTTCGACCTTAGCATCGTTCTCATATACGAAGAGTAGATAGACATTTGACTGACGTCCAGGAAACCCCTGCCCGCTTCTGATTGGTGCCGGATGACATCATTCGGTGCGGCGCGAAACCGGGGCGTTTTAAATTTGCGTTTACGTTGAGCGATTTGAACTGCGCATTTCTTGGTTATTGAGTTATTTGTTCACGTTTTTAATGTGCGCATCGTGTTCTATGCGTCATTTTCCTTCAGAAAACTATATTCGCAAGTCAAAATTCGTTCATGGTTTAGTGACCCATTGGCTCGACCCACTGGGCGCCGGTGCGAGAGCGGGTGATGGTCCGAGACGGTCGGCAACGCCGGGCTGGAAAGTTAGCGCAAAGTTTCAGTTTTAATCCGGCGGATTTTTAATGGCCTCCTCAATCTTCTGCCCACGCAGGCCCTGCAGGAGTGCATAATCCCCGCTACATCCCTTCCGTGCCACGTCACAAGACTCCAACGGTCGATCATCGCAGCCAGCTGGGGGTGCGTTCTTGAGACGAAAGGCACCCGCGCCGTGTGCACTCGCGTACTTCGCTCCCGTCTTACTAAAAAGAGCACTATGAGCAAAAATGAAGTTTTCGGAAAATGCACCTGATAGCACGTTTGAGCGAGAAATGGACCACTAGACAACGTGCGAATTTAAGTAATCCAATACTAGTCTCTTAACCAGAATTTCACGCAGAACACGATTCA